TTCTTCTAATTCTTCTATAGAGTCAGGATATTGATTAGAGTTTGATGTAATTGTTACTGTTTCTTGAATTTCTTTGAGTCAAAGTGTCTATTTCTCAAAGAAGAGCTTTCTGTTATTAAGATTAGGAGGAGTATAAATATTAGAAATTTGAAATATAAATTCTTTGTATTCAAAGCTTGTTGAGATAACTTTATTATCTAGGTCTATTTCTGTATCTTTAAATGTAATATTTTTGTTGCCTGTGAGTATAGCTGTTTTGTTTGTCCAAATAGAGTCAAAAATCTATTAGTTTTTAAGAAAGTTTCATGTATTTTGGTCATTTAAGTTTGTTTCTTGTAACATGATTATGTCTAATTTATAAGATTTAAGAAGAGTTAGAGTGTTCTGTTGTTTTTGTTGATTATTTAACCCTTTGACATTTAGGGTTGCAACCTTAAATTTAAGTTGATCAGTCATATTAGAGGTTAGGTAATACAGAATAAGATCTTTGAATTTTGTATTCTATTATGAGTTTTTCTATAAGGAGCAACTCTAGTCAAATCTTCAATTTTGTTCCGAGATATCTTTTTTGTTTTTTCTTTTTCTTGAAGAGACTATAGTGAATCCTTCTTCAAGATTTTTAGTTTGCAAGTATGATTTATTGTTGTTTGTAATAAGTATAATTGGAGTTCTTAGTAAGTTAGAATCTTCAATTTCCATAACAGTTTCTGCTTGTATACTCTCAGTTGTGATGTTCTCTTTGTTGCTATTATCAAGAGTTCTAACTAATAAGGCTTCTATGTTTTTTTTTTTCTACAACAAGGTTTTCTGAATTCAGATTCTCCATATTAGAGGAGCTATTTTCTAGGGTTTCATCTGTTTGAGAGATTTCAGATTCTGTATCTTTAATAGAGAAGATGGAGTCTTGTTGGTTTGTTTCTTCATCATCTAATTCAATATAAATGATTTTACCCTTCTTTTTGCTGGCAAGAAATTCTTTATGCTGCTGACAGAACAGTAAAGCTTCTTTGAACTAGGGCATTCTTTTTTAATATGCCCTTCTTTGTTACAGAAGTAACAGAGTTTAGGAGCAGAATGCCATTCTGTTGTAACTTTATTATTGAAAATGACCTCAAAGTGTAGAATTCTCTCTTCAAGATCTGAGTCATCAGTAGTCTTGAAAGTGACTATCTATTTGTCTGTCAAATAGGGAGTACCTTCAATTAAGAGAGGTTTAATTGAAATGATTTTACCTATATCATCAAAGATCTCTTTGATTTCATTAGAAATATCCTCTTTGTTACCCAAAGGTATATTATTGACTTTAATTGAGAGGAAAGATCTTCTCATATCAGTTGGAATATAGCTATAATAGGTCTTATTAAATATTTCAATTCCTTTTGTAGTATAATACTTGAGTTTTTCTTCTCTAGCAAATATTAGCTCGAGATGAGTGCATATACTTCTACTAATATGTAGCTTAGTAGCAATAATATTATGTGCTGCTGTTTTATAGAGAGAAATCATGATTTTGTTCAAAGAGCCATAGAGGTTTTGTATATCCAAAATAAAGGCATTATCATTTTTTGATTTTATACTATTTCTTGGAGAGAAAGAGGTAAAGATTGATTGATCTCTCTTGACTTTTGCAAATAAACTTGACTACAGTCTTTGCAAAGTTTCATTGTTATTGTTTGTTGTACTTTTTTTAGGTTCCGTTAGAGATGAGTCATATAAATTTGGATGTGTTGTTTTTGTTGTTGTTTGAGTCTCAGTATTTTGACTTTCATTACATGCTTTAGAGCTAGACATGACACTCATATTGTTTTTGTTTTGTTGTTTTTTTTCTAAACTTTTAGTACTATTTTCTTGAGAGACTTGTTCGTCCTAGCTAGAAGTATTAGCTAAAGAGGTATTCAAAGCTTGTTGAGATAACTTTATTATCTAGGTCTATTTCTGTATCTTTAAATGTAATATTTTTGTTGCCTG